GTAAAGCATTTATTTGATTGCATGTTAAAGATTAGCCGTATTTACGGCACTATTCACACGCTATTCCCGCACATTATCTATCAATTCATACGATAACTACTGAACAATATGTTTACATTAAATTTATTTCTTGTTTTCAAAATTAATTGTAAAAAATTGTTTTTTATTATTATTTAATTACTGACAAAATAAGTTTTTGTACTTATATTTATTTAAAAATAAATTTCAAATACTTTACTTAAACATTGAATTTGTTTTCCTATAATTACTATTTTATCAGATCATTTACTACTTGTCACAAATTTTCATACATGTATAGAAACAATTACCATTATATCATTATGAAATTAATTTTGTTATCTATTTAATTCTCTCATCGGATAATCTATTCATTAATATTGTAAGAAAATTTAAATAACATTTTTTTATCGAAAGTTTTATTAAAAATATATATTCAAATGATTGATGAGTAAAGCTGTTCAGAATATGTATTTATTTATGGTCAAATATGTTATATAATATTTATTTAAAATGGTCAAATATTTGCTTATATATTTACTAATAAGGGGTCAAATATTTACTTAAATATTTATTTATAAATCTTAATATTTTATAAAAATACTAATTAATGTATTCTATGGACAAAATCACGAAATATTAAGCTAGAAATGTTCGGTAGCCTTTTAAATTCTATTTAAATAGTGTAAATTAAAGAAATAATATATATTTAAACTATATCAATTGTTTCCAAGTCAAACTAATGATTTACTATTCCATCATTACGTATTACCTAATGTCATACAAGTATTTATTATTGTTTTGATTCATTATTAACAAACTTTTAGAAATTATTTTACCATTTAATATATATTTAAAAATTTTAAGCCATGAATTTCAAGTAAATTAATGATTTTTATGCTTTATTACCAAATATTTATTTATATTTTTTTATAAGTCAAATATGTATTTATATTTAAAATAAAACTTTGTTAAAATGACCTTTATTATGTAATTCGTTTGCCCCCAAAATCCTAAACATGTATCTCTAACTGGTAAATATATTTAAAAACATATTCTGAACAGCTTTATTGATGAGAGTTAGTCTCAGATGATTGTCGAGTGGTTAGGTTTTTATAACATATTATTTTATTTTAACTGGGTTTTGTGTATTTATAACACGTTTAGTATTTTGAATCTCTAGTAAATTGTCCGCAAATCTATGGTCACAAACATTTGTCCAAATTATCACTTAACAACTGATTGATTGGTTAAAATGCTATTCATTTGGTGCATGTGTTTAATTAAATGAGTATATATTTTACTATATATTTCATAATCAATCTCAATAATTGCAAGAAATAATTGAGTTTCTGTTTATAATTTAATTAATTAATAATGTAATCAATTGTTTAATTTAAATTTATGCGCTTCAATAAATGTGAATCAGGTAAAATTATTTGTATTGCACTTATACTTTATTAATATAATTGAAATATTAATCATGTATTAATAACATAATGGTCAGTGTATTTGTCAACTATTGGCATCATTTTCTTTAACATTAAAACTATAGTATGATTGCAATTATACGTGAAGTCATTATAATTTGTAAAAATATTTCCAAATAACACTATTACAGTATACGAATCAAAACACTTTAATTAATAGATTTGCTAAAAGTTTGAATACAATTCACCCAAACATTGGTATATTTGACGCATAATATGATAAAAGTATGGTATAAGTCGATGAATAGATGAGAATATACTAAATATACTAAATGTATACATACTTTAGCATTGAATGATATATCAGACAACGAATTTGAGCAACTAGTGAAAATCCAAATAACCATTTGAGAATTCACACACAAAAAACTATATATAAGGTCCTGTGATCTCTAAATAAAGTCAATTGTTTCATTGGATGGATAGTTATATGTATGACATATTAAATAAATCGTTGAGGTTTTGTCGTTGGGATCCGAGACTATGGCTGATTCAAAAGATTTATTTGATCTAATAATAGATTTTTTGAACAATAAATTGGAATTGTCTGCTCTTCTGGAACAGACTTCAGGAAGTCCTCGACAGGTCATCGGAGGTTTGTTTCTCATATCAATTGCTTAACGTTTATGTATTGCAATTTGCAATCACTAAATCTATTATTGTATTTATTAAACAAAGATGGGAACCAAAGAGTGGATCTATTAATGGATGTTTCGCTCAACGACAGGCAACTACTCAATGCTAACGATCAAAAGTATTTACGACATATCATGACTTCAAATGGAGTTCGAGTGAAGTTGAATTTGTTGCAAAACAACGAACCTTTGCTTCCAATTGTGATCACAGGTCGGCCACTCGGCGTGCGATCCGCTTATCTATCTCTTAGACAAGTGTTGCCCATCACTGTCTGGTTTGATGTCCAGCTCAACTATAGTGTGGCGATCGAGCGATTAGATCCAATGCAGCCATCGATGATGGATATTCAGCGCCGATACCAAATGGCTATATGTGTCGGGCCGTCACAAACGTATGGCGAGTTTCCGACTCCGGGGCAATACTCTGTGTATTTGCGGATTAATCGATCAAATGAAGAGCGTCTACAGGACGGCATCGATGCAATCAAGGCCTACATTATTGACAATAATCTGGGATTAATTGACGAAACGATTCAATCCATCATCGATTGTCCGGGACATAGGGCTGAGATCTTGGGCCGCGGTTTTGTCCACTTGAATCCAATCGCTCAGAGGACGGGCACTGAACTCAATGCCCAGCGCTGTGCCGGTAATGTATGCCGCGTAACGATTGTCGGTCGAGATTATGCGAGTGTTGGGTCCGCCCGACGAGAGATCACCGACCGATTTGTGGTGGAATTGGATTTCGCTGTTAACCCACAACAATGCGATGCACTCGACAGATGTGGTCACGAGTTGGGAAAGTTGGGCGATGAGAAAGAGGTGCACATTCTTATGCGACCAAACATTGGCCATAAAACCATACTTTTGAGGGCTACCGACAAAATGATGTTCAATCTGTTTGCTGTGAGAAATGAGTTGCTCTCTTTGGCCGACACTCCCCCTCAACCCCCACCGCCCGTGCCATCGATTTCCGACATTTCATTTGCAAACAAGTAAATTATTATTATTGGAAACATTTAAAGTATAAATCAATACTTAATATTAATTACAAATTATGATTATATAAATTACGGGGAATTTTTGACAATTTATCTATTAATGCTAATTGAAATTTAAAATCTTTAATTTTTGTTTAAACAATAAGTTATTATTTTTATAATTTATTTTTACATATTATTTAAAGATTTATTTTTATATAATTGGAAAATTATATTTTGATATTTAATTTTTGTTCTGGTGTTTAGTTATTTGATTTATTTGGTTTTCTTATATTCTGATATTAAGTTTTTGACATATTTGAAAATTAACTGATTTTGTAATAATAATTAATGTAAAATTAAAAACAATGTATAACTATAAGTGTAGTTTATATAAAGTTTACTACAGTATATGGCATGAAATGTTACACATTTTATGTATTCTATTTAAAGTGTTAATAAATTGTCGACAATAATCATTACTTCAGTACATGTTTCCTATGATTGTTTAAAAGTTAATACTCTCCAAGATTTAAGAAATATTGATAACTTTAATTAACATTCTGTACACATCTATCCGCTTATTAAATGTTGTCATAACTGCATTTATACTGCATTTATAGGATAGAGAAAAATGTATAAAAATAATATCTGATTAGATAAAGACAAAAACCACTGAAGACTAAATACACTGTCACTCAAAGCTATACCACTTACGAGTTGTTATGACTTTTTTAAATTTAAAATATAAATATTTTTAAGTAGTTTTCTATCAAAAATTATTACTTTTTAGTTGTAATCAATTGAAAATTATTGATAAAATGTAAACATAATGTTAGGATAATATGAGATTATATTATGGGAACAAATTCTAACACATCCTCTGATAATCTCTATATTTAGTACGAGTTTTGTTTGATAGACAAAAAGTCATTAAAAAATGTTAGACAAGTTTTTAGATGTTTACTAAAAAGACCAGAAAAATACAACTATTTATATGTTTATATAATTAAGAAAAGAGTGGCTTTGAATGGATAGTAAATTATGATAACTTTGATGGAAAATTTCTCCCATTATTTGTTATTTATTTTATAAACACTTGTATTTGACTGTCCAGAAGAGTAGTAGTTGTGATGCCAGGGGTTTGACAACTCAGGCACTTCTCATATCATACATAAGTCAGTTATACGTCAAAAGTGTTAAATCCATTAACAATAGGGATTAACAATCGTTATAATTGTGTAATAAAAGTACTGAAAGCTATTTAACTTTAATAATAAATTAATTTTATGAAATATTTGATTAAATAAAATATATATTATATTATACTGTATGCAAAAATTTGGGTTCAAAGCTGTCAAAACGATAAGTGAATTCTCAATGAATAATAATAATTACGAAATTCATAATAATGAAGACATAAGCGATACCATAAGGCTAAGAGCGGCCACATATTTAGCCCCCAATATACCCGTTCAGTACTTTGAGGTATGGATTGAATAATAAATATAAGTTTTGATTAAAAATTAATTCATTGTCAATACATTTATTGAAAACAACTCAAAAAATTAAGATTATTTTGGATTATCTAAAGACACGATTGGGTTATATCGACACAAGTTTGCGATACGAGTCCAACACTCAAAACGTCACACAAGTCTTCGCCGACAATGAGATAGATATCGGTATATGAAGTGATTGATTGAAACTAACATTTCTTTTATATTATTATATTTTTTAATGACATTATTTTCTGTGCACTAAAATTCATAATATTTTTATCGCTTTATTAATAATGAATTGATTGATTGATGTATGCATTTGTATAGCTTGGATTAGTGGCACATCCTATATACAAGTGGCACAACAGGCTGTGGCCGCTTTACTGCCCGTATCGTCAGTGCACACACATCCCAGTGCCGAAGACTGTGCCGGATATTATTGTGATGTAATTATACACCAATCGCTGGGGTATTAATGAATATTAAACATTTCTAATGACATATAAAACTAATTATTTAATGAACCAAAAACTTAAATCTCAATTCATATTGAATTGAAAACAATATGCATTTGATTGGCGCAGATCACGGGTGACCCGTTTCGCTGACCTGCGGGGCTGTCGTTGGGTGTATAACCAGAACCAGTCGCTCACCGGTCACTACATTACTGTCAAAGAGTTGCGACAATTGGGCGAAGACTCGACATTCTTTGGGGAACGGCATGAGTCCGGTTCGGACCTCCAGTCCATACATATGCTGCTCAGTCGGCAATCGGACGCCGCTATTGTCGACAGTAATTGTTTGCACATATTTTTGGATAGGAATCCGCAGCTGAAAGACGAGATACAAGTGCTCACGTCGTTTGGACCGATGCCTCCATACCCGGTGGTCGTCAACCATAAGATACCCGTAGAGCTCAGGCAACAGATAGTGGACGCCCTGTTGGACATGCATTTGGACTCATATTACTCGCAAATGTTGTCTAAATTTAGAGTAAAAGGTTTTGTGCGGATCACTGGCCAAGAGTTTGCCGCCGAAAGTGAATTGATATCAAAGACAAATGATATGGATATTAAGTGATAGACATTGTTAAGGATGTTTGATATAAAGAGACATATAGACAGCAAACAAACAAAAGGACTGATTATTTATCTAATAATAATTAGGTTTAAAATTTATTGCGATTTTTATATACATATGAAAAACATAATTACAAATATTTATGAATTTATTATACAATTAATGTTTAAAATGCAATAATAAAGATAACAATCAAGTGTTAAAAACTATATTGTGTTTGATATATACAACTATAACTATAAATACATTATACATGTTGGCGATCACGCGGTCACTCGCCGTCAAACTTGACCACAATTGCGGTCATGTTATCGCCGCCGATGCCGTTGACGGGTCTGACGGGAGACATACATCGATGGATCATCTCGTGGCAAATTGTGGTCAACTTCTCGGACTTAATACGTTTGGACACGAATTGAGACACTTTGCTATTAGACATGGAGTTCCAGATGCCGTCGCACGCGATCACCAGAAAGTCGTCTTTCTTGATCTTCAATTGTTTCACTTTGATCTCAGGACATGCGCTCACCATTTGCTCTTCGGCTGACACGGCTTTATTGCGTTTGTACTGATGGTCGCCGAAAGCTCGCGACAAATTCAGACCGCCGTTGATTCGGCCCTCAATCACGTGTCCGCCCGACCGCTCGATGCGCTTCCGTTCGCACCGGTCTTCAGGCTTGTGGTCGTTGGAGAGCGCGATTGTCTTACGCGACCGATACAGCAGACACCGCGAGTCACCGATATTGGCCACGTATATCGTGTCCGTGTCGTTGGCGATCAACACTACCAGAGCTGTGCAGCCGCTGGTGATGGCCGGTCTGTCAGTGGGCGCCATATTCTCGCCTAAGACACCGCGTCTGAGGCCAAAGAGCTGATCATTAGTGGCTCGGGTCAGCAAAATTGCATCAAAAGCCATGAATACTTCTTCGAGAGCGATCTCAATGTTGCCAATCTGGAAGTTCTTATTGGATTTGATGAGCTCCGGGAGTCGTTTGCCGGCCAATAGAGCCACTTCTGGTCCGTTGTGTCCGTCAAAGACGGCAAACAGCGAGTGGTTGTCGTCGAAGTTAGTGATGGCCACGTGTGCGTCCTCTTGATATTTGCGCCATCCCTGCACTGAACACATGCCGTACGACAGGCGGCCTCTGAGGGCACCGCTGCCCGTCTTGGCCTTCGTTACGGCAGACTTCAGGTATATCTTGGATAACATCTCTTCGACGCGACAATTATTGTACGCGTTTTGAAGCGATTGACTGAAGATTTTGTTTGAGGGAAACATCTATTCTTCTTCTTCTCGATAAGTATTTTGAGTGTTTTTACAGCCAAAAAGTTTGCCTAATATTGCAATCAATACTCGTTTGCAATGAAATATTTTTTGCAATGTTTTGTGAAGTTATCTCTACTGACGAACTAATGATGTGTTCAATCGATCAGTGAAAATGTTATTCACAATAAATAGTAAAAATGAAAAATAAACTGTTTTTTAATAAGGATATGAAATATAAATATATTAAACAATTGTTATAACAATCATCGCCTTGTTTTACATATGATTATTATTTATTTTCGCAATTGTTATAACAATTTTAACATTTATTTAGCGAATGATACGGCAATTGAATGTCTCGTACAATATATAAGTAGAAATATTTTTATAACTATTCTGTTGTGTGATTTCAAGTGTAGAAAAAACACAGAACTTTATATTAATATTAAACACTGAAAGAGAGAGAGAGAGAGAGAGAGAGAGAGAGAGCTATGGTGTTTGTTATCGTTAAAACGTACTAAAAGTGTATGCAATAAAATTATGATTAAAAATCATAGGAAAAGTGCAAAAAATATATATAATATATTTATATCAGTGGTAGAGATAACAACAATTTGAAGGCAAATGTGTCATAAAAATTTCAAACCCAATTCACGAGCCAATGGAAACAGGCGTTTGCGAGACACACAAAGACAGGTATACAGATTTCTGTACACCTTTTTTACACCATGTAATCACTGACAATAATAAATATGTGTGTTTTTAATCACTAATCTGATCACAAGTGATCACGAGCCAAACACATTTTGTCCTTTGATTTTTTATATTATATTATAAACACGACAACCGGTCGTCAGTTATTTAGCAAACGATTAATTACTCGTATTTTAGGTATACTTGTGTTAAAAAGTGATATCAATCTATTTGTCGCACATTATATGATTATTTAGTACTTGATATTTATTAATACATGTATTCACTCTTTGGTGTATTTTTATCGCAACACTTTTTATAATCGGCTGAAAAACTCGTTAAACAATATTGATATGTGTTTTGGTTCAAAATTGTGGCTTTTATTTGCCAGTTATTTGCCTTATTATAGTGTATCAAATGTTTGACACGAGGATGACTTGTAATTTAACTGATTTGTAATGATATGAAAAATATGTTCATTATTTTGACAGCAATTGGGGGTTTAGATGGGGAAGGGATGGGTAGACGTAGACTATATCGATAGAATAGTTCACAGAATTCATTATAAAGTTTATATAACTTTGCAATTCTTACTAATTGTTTCATTTTCACAGAATATCATTGAGATAATTGTTATCAATAGGCAAACCCATGTGTTTGACCATTGTTTTTGTCTTTCAAACATAATCATTAATTAATGTTTTAATTTTAGACATTGAAAAGTTTATCTAATGTTTAATATGTTATAAAATAAATGTACAGTAAATTTAGCATATAGCTGCTATATATTATAGCATTAGGATTAGTACAGAATAATAAATGGCTTAATGAAGGTATTTATTTAACAGATTATTGAGTCTATTTATTATGTAATCACGTGTTTGTTTAAGTTTATAAATACGTCAATTGGA